GGAGGATTCCCCAGCCAGCTCCGTGGTAATCCACGGTGCGTGTGTGCAGCGGAAGGCTAAACCTTTCAGGCGTGACGGCGCTCTGAGGATTTCACTCCGATCGAGCTGTGGAGAACAGAAAACCTGAAACGTTCCCCACAGCTGAGAAACGTGAGGAGCCTCCAGCATTGATCGGAGGCCAGTGGCTGGACGGATGTGCCAGCCAGGCAAGCCCCCTTGTGCGAGAGGCATCCACGTGGGGTTTGTTGGGTCCAGACAGATCCCCGGGGCGTGCGCACACACGTGGTGCCAAGCCCAGTTACCCACCTGTGCCTTGGGCCTGACAAATCCAGCCCAGCATCCTGTCCTCATGCACACGAGCGCCCTGTATGTGCGTCTGCACAGACACACTGCTGCTGGAGTGCACGGCCACGCCCAGGGCCCTTGGATACCTGCATGCCCCACCCAGCCAGGTCTCTAGCATGTGAACATACAACCTTACGTGCAGTAACACACGTGCACCAATGGACACGCTGGTCTAACATGCAGACACAAACGTCTGTTCAGGCCAGAGCGCACAGAGACTCTGGAACCTGGGGTCTAGTCCCAGTTCTGCCCCTGATAATGATCTTAGGCAAGTTCCCCCCCTCCTCCCATGCCTCAGTTTCCCCTCCCACCTTTTCTCTCTGTTTGCAGTGCAGACTCTTCCTGCGTCCATATACTAGTGTTGGCCCAGAGGGGCGCTGATCTCAGGCGAGGGTCTCTGGGGCAGACGTGGGCATGTGTTCAGCAGCACGGCCCCACGGAGCCACGAGCCCTAAGGATTTGTCCGCGATGGCAGCCCCAAGCAGGAGACAGTGCTTTACGGAGGAGAGGTGCTGCTCCCAGGTTCTGAGGATGCTGCCAGGGCTCTCTGGGCATCGCCTGCTCTCCGTGGGCCTGCTGCCCTGCTGAAGTGGGTCCGTTAGCATGGTGCTGCCCTGGGGAAGGGCGAGCTGCTGGCTGGCAAAGGGATCTAGGAGAGCACGGCCAAGGTGAATGCAGGCGACAAAGCAGTGAGGGGAGGTCGCCCCGTGTGCTGTCCACTGGGCACTTTGCAGGCAGTGAGCTGGGGAGCTCAACCCCGTCCCTGGCAGACACTGGTCCCGGTCACAAACACCTGGGTGCAAGGGGCACCGACGGGCTCCCTTGTCGGCCTCACAGAATGGCCAGTGACCGAGTGGCCCTGGAGGCTGCGCTCCCCTCTCAGCCCCCACATTGGCAAGCCTGTGGGGGTGGGCATCCTGCCCTATGGCTGCAGCAGGCACCTGGCTCCCGTGGGGCAGAGGTGGGGGGAGGGCTGGACACCCAGTGCCTCTAGCTGGGCGGTTGCCTGCAGCAGTGGGGCTGGGCAGCCGGGGACTGCGATGGGTTCCAGTCTGCAGCCAGAGTAGGGCTGCTGTCCCAGCGTGCGTGTGGCCGAGGAAGGGGCCGTACCCTTCCGGGAGATGAGCTGTGCTGCGGGGACACGACTCACACGGGAGGGAAGGGCCACAGAGCCGGCGGCTGGGCCGCTTTCAGTCTGCCAGCCTGCTCCGCCAAAACGCAGCCACGGCCAGCTCCCCGGGAGGGCCACCGCCACCCCGGAGCCGGAAGCCAATTCCCCGTCCTCGGTGAGGTGCTAATTAGCATCCCGCGTTTACCACTGCGGGTGCCCACCTGGGACGCTGCGGCCCCTGTGCCTCGTGATTGGGCCTGGAGGGCAGGTGGTTTATCAAAGCGAGAGGTTGCTTCGATGCCTGTTGCTTCCTTTACGTCCCTGGCGGCGCCGCCTCTTGGTTCAAGCTCTGCTCCTCCGGGGGTGGGTGGCTGGTTTCTCTGTTCCGCGTACAGCCCCAGGCGCTAGATTTCCCAGCATGCACAGCCCTCGAGGCTCCGGCCGCGTGCTCAGGTGCCTGGATGGCGGTGGAACTCCCCTGAAGATCTGCCCCCCTCCCCCAGATAGCGCTGTCAGGCCCATCAATGTGAAAAGTGCTTTAGAATCCGCGTTTTTCCCCTCCTGGGTGCAGATATGGTGGGGGTGGGTGACGGGGGAGGGTATAGGAGCAAGGAGCTGAAAAGAGAACGCGGGAGCTGCAGAAAATGGAGTCGTGTTCCTGGATTAAGCCGGGAGAAGGGGCAGAACGGAGGGAAGTGGGAAGAGGCAGCAAAGGGGGGGGGCAGGGTGCTGGGGTGGCTTGAAGGGGTTTCCATCGTATACAGGGTTACCGTTTGGTT